TATTATGTTGGCCCATGACTTCAGAGGAAGAAGTTGGTGGTATGGCAGTAGAGGTCAAACCTTTCCACCAATATCCCATTACATTTTGTTGCTGTGTGACAGATGGCAGCAGAAGGGCAGTGTGAAATAAAATGGCATCTGACATGGAAGTCATCATCTGTGTATTATGGCAGAGAGCTCTACAGAACCAACTTATGTAATAAAATGTGGTGACCCTTCCATCGAATACTTGTAAAAGAAAACAGCAACTGGTTAAAGATCAGAGAATACAAACCTACTTTTTTTTTTTTTTTTAAATCAATCTGAACATAAATTTATTCACTGTCTGCTTGGTCTGAAATTCATCTTCAAGCTTCTGCATTCTGAGGAATTATTGTTACTGCATTCCCACGGTGCAGATGTGTGCAGGGGGGTGAGAACAGATGTCTGATTTGGGAGTCAGGTGTGAATATTCCACCTAGAGGGAGTGTGAGCATTAGTGACGTTTTGAAGACAGTGGGATGGAAGATGAGGTGCCAAATCTGAGACTGAAGCTGCTGGCCACCAGAGGCCAAGGATTGGTGCATTTCCTACTGGATTTCTGCAGAACCTCTGGGACTTCTATTTCCATTAGCTCAAATGAAACCCAGGTGTGTCTGGACATGTGCATGCCATTTTATTTATTTTGGGAAGTGTGAAAATAATAGCTTTGAAAATCTCTTTCTTATTTTTTCCCAAAGGGGGTGATATTCTGTATGTCTGCTATGCTTATTCCAGATCCCATCAGCTGGTGATGCAGCATCATCAGCTCTTATACCATCCATTCAGACCTCTTTGGTATCCATTACACCAAAGGAGCACAGCTGGGTGCTGGGCTGTAATTTCTCATGCAGCTGGGATCAGATCCATCATCTTACTTGAAAGTTAAGACTAAGACCTTAAAAGTGAATGAGGCACCAAAATACAGCTTGATGTTCCTGCTGTGCTCTCAGGGCTTAAGCCAGTGAGAAAAAGATTGAGCATGTCTGTGTTATTTTCACCTTTTGACACAGTTTGAGTGATTTGCAGTAATTTAGTTCAGAAATGGTACAGCTTCCCCCTGCAATGTCCTTGTGCCACAGAAAGCTGTAATGAGTCTCTGATGAGACAGAGATAAGGAAGATATTTTTAATGACAGTATAGCCTAGACCAATTTCAGGGAGGTACTGAGTGAAGGCTAAATCCTTCCACCATTTTCCAACACTTAAGTATCTTAGGGTGCTTAAGATACCCTCATGGTGTATGGTTAAAAGAAGATGGTAGCACAAAAACAAACTAAAAGCAACTTGATGGATTTCCCTTTAACTTTGTATTGGAAATTTCTGCGATGAGACGGTCACTAAAAATTAGTAGAAATAAGACTGTTGGGAAATGCATGCTTTTAAATGAATACCAGGAAAGATTGTTTGATGTTGGAAGTATTTGGCTGTGGGACTATTTCCTTGCAAAATGAGAAGCATATTTTGCCTGTGTTCTTCAAACAGCTCCAAATAGATAGTTGAAATGTAAAAGAAGATGAGAGGCAGTGGAAAACAGGAAAATATTTACCTTAGAATCCAAACTAATATTAATGATTGTTTCAATATCTTTAATGATAACAACAATATATTTATATACATAAATGTGTGAATGCATGCACACTTGTAAGTGCTCCAGAAGGAAATGTTTTTTGTCTTTCCTGGAAGCCTCAGGTGTTCTGTGATAAGTCTTAACACAGGTGATGTATATCCAGATATTAAAGTAGGTATGATAAAAATAAAACAAAAACAGAATCCAAATACCTGTTCTTTAGCTCATTAACAGCTCTTTTCAAAAATGGTTTATGAATAAACCATTTACTTAAATGTATGCTCTGCAGGATTTCATATTTAAAAAAAAAAAAAAAAAAAAAAGAATTTGAAAGGCTAAAAAACTGCAATGAATGCACTGCATCTTTGTAAGACAGCAAAGATCATTACTATTGGCTGTGTTCTGTCCTCCTTAATTAAATCATTAACCTGCCTGTACTTTCTGGAGCAGCTTAGTTACAGAAGGCTGTTTCTCTGCTCTTGTTTAGTTTATTAATTATTGGCCCTGACACTCTGTTCAAGTCAACACATTTTCCTCATGATAAAAGTACATATTATGTTAAAAATAAGATAATTTTAAACAAATTTGAGAAGATAGATAATACTAATCATGGCAGGTGACCACTGCAAATTTCTGAGTAGTTCTGCTACTGAACTTGCCTTCATCCATAAAGGACAGACAAAAGTGCTGTGAACTCTAGTTAAGTTGGTGAGGAGAATGCAAATCCATAGCTTTCATCCGTGGTTTTCATAGAGTTATAGGGGTTGGAAGAGACCTTTAGAGATCATTGAGTCCAACCCCCATGCCAAAGCAGATTCCCTATACCAGGTTGCACAAGTAGGTGTCCAGGTGGGTCATGAACATCTCCAGAGAAGGAGACTCCACAACCCCCTTGGGCAGCCTGTTCCAGTGCTCCATCACCCTCACTGTAAAGAAGTTCTTGTGCACATTTGTGTGGAACTTCCTATGCTGCAGCTTCTGGCTGTTTCCCCTTGTCCTGTTTCCACATGCTACTGAAGAGTATGGGCTTGCCGCTCTGCCTCCCCACACCTTGGGTATTTATAGACCTGGATCAGGTCCCCTCTCAGTCATCTTTTCTCAAGGCTGAACAGACCCAGTTCACTCAGCCTTTCTTCATAGGGGAGATGCTCCAGGTCCTTCACCATCTTTGTGGCTCTCCGCTGGACTCTTTCCAAGAGATCCCTGTCTTTTTGTACTGGGGAGCCCAGAACTGGATGCAGTACTCCAGATGAGGTCTTACCAGGGCAGGTTAGAGGGTGAGGATCACCTCTCTCGACCTGCTGGCCACGCTCTTTTTAATGCACTGCAGAATGCCATTGGCCTTTTTGGCCACAAGGGCACGCTGCTGGCTCATGGCCAACCTGTCATCCACCAGGGCGCTTGGGTCCCTCTCTGCAGAGCTCCTCTCCGGCAGCTCATCCCCTCCAACCTGTATCATTTCATCCTTCCTAGATGCAAGACTCTACAGTTGCTTTTCTTAAAGAATATTTTTAAATGAGTCCTCTGGTGTTCCTGTGGTATTTTGTACTGATTTTGCTTGTTTGCAAAGCTGCTGTGCTATCAGCTGATGTGGTTCTATAGGAGAACTCTTGATGGCAAATCTAAAACAAAATCCCTGCAGAAATGGCAGGGTGGTGTTTGGAGGCACCATGGGTGCTGGCAGTGATGGGCTAAGAAGGAACGGGCTTACTTTTCCTTCCTGGTTTTAAGTATATACTTCAGCAATTTGGATATCATGAATATTTGCAAGTCAGGTTCCCAAACTGTGGTTTCCCAAAATGTGTCACTCCGATGGGTTTTTCTTTGTTTACTCTAACTGCTGATATGTGCTCTTTAACATCTTTATCAATGACACTGATGACAGAATGGAGTGCGCCCTCAGCAAGTTTGCTGACGACAGCAAGCTGAGTGGAGTGGTTGACATGGTTAAAGGAAAGGATGCCATTCAGAGGGACCTTGACAGGCTAGAAAGATGGGCTCAGGTGAACCTGATGATGTTCAAGATGGCAAAGTGTGAAGTTTTGCACTTGAGTCGAAGGACTCCCAGGCATCCATACAGACTGGAAAAAGTGATCTTTGAGAGCAGTCCTGTGGAGAAGGACCTGGGGGTCTTAACAGATGAAAAGCTTAATGTGAGTCAGCAGAGTGCCCTTGCAGCTCAGAAAGCAAATGGTATCCTGAGAAGAGGGGTGGCTAGAGTGATTGTCCCCCTCTATTCTGCCCTTGTGAGGCCCCATCTACAGTACTGTAGGTCTGGAGTCCCCAGTACAAAAAAGACAGGGAGCTGTTGGACAGGGTCCAGAGGAGAGCCAGGAAGATGATCAGGGGACTGGAGCACCTCCCCTATGAAGACAGGCTGAGGGAGCTAGGCTTGTTCAGCCTGGAGAAAAGGCGGCTGCAGGGTGACCTCATTGCAGCCTTTCAGTACCTAAAGGGAGCCTACAAACAAGAGAGGAATCAACTCTTTGAAAGGGTAGATAACTGTAGGATAAGAGGAAATGGTTTTAAGTTGAGGGAGGGAAGATTTAGGTTGGATGTCAGGGGGAAGTTCTTTACAGAGGGAGGGGTGAGGTGCTGGCACAGGCTGCCCAGAGAGGTTCTGGATGCCCCGTCCCTGGAAGTATTCAAGGTCAGATTGGATGGGGCCCTGGGCAGCCTGGTCTAGTATTAAATGTGGAGGTTGTTGGCCCTGCCTGTGGCAGGGGGTTTGGAGATTCATGACCCTTGATGTCCCTTCCAACCCTGGTGATTCCGTGATGTCCTTTCATGGTGTGTAAAGGAGGGTGTAAGGAAGCTGCTCTGCTGAGCATCATTTGCTACTGGATAGTTTCTGCCACTTCTTTGCAGGGAAGTGATGGATCCTCGGTGCTGGTCTGCCCAGGTGACCCCTGGCAGTGCCTTCCTCTGGCCATGTACCCCTTCTCAAGCAGCCTCTGGCACTGGGTCACATCTCACTGCTCCTTGGACCACAGAATCATGAGAAATCATTATGGATGGAAAAGACCTCTAACAAATTGTGTCCAATCACCAACCCATCCCCACCACCCTTTAACCACGTTCCTCACTGCCACACCTCCACAGTTCTTAAACACCTCCACAGATGGTGACTCCACCACCACCCTGGGCAGCCTGTGCCACAGATAGATCTACCTCATACTAAAAGAAAACGTAAAAAGGAAAAGGATAAAGTACTTCAAGTTTAGACAAGTCGTTCTTTCTTCACTATTCAGCCTAAGCCAGCCTGAGTACCAGCCCACCCTCACGCTGTCGTGACAGCATTTCAGTTAGAAACACGCGGTGGTGACAGAAGACCCCGCCCCGCCGGTGGGGGGACCCGTGCCGAACCCACCCCCCGCTGGAGGCTCCACCGCCGTCACGGGGGAGGGCAGAGCGCGAGAGGGGCCGGACCGCTCCTGCTCCCCCTCCTAGAGCAGGTGGAGGGTTCCACCGGGGCCGGACGGGTTTTTCTTCCGTCCCTGGTTGTGTCTGAAGGCGGGCAACTCCGCCTCTGCCGGCGTTGGAGGCGCGGGTGCACGTCTCTCCGCTGGGGGCTCGGGGCTCCCCTCGCCATGGCTTTCACCTTCGCTGCTTTCTGCTACATGCTGTCGCTCGTGCTTTGCGCCGCGCTCATCTTCTTCGCCATCTGGCATGTGAGTACCGCGGGGCCGTCCGTTTCGTTTGGAAGCGGTGGCGTTTGTGGGATTAAAAACCCCTCGCTGTTAGCCAAGACGGAATTTCTTATTCAAACTAGAGTAAAGCTGCTGGCTGAGTTTTGTGTAAACGTGGTCGAGGTAGAAATAGAATTCTCTTGGCGGAGTGATCTTTGAGATCTAATTGCTCTGAGCTGTTAATGGTGCAGTTACAAGGCTTTTCTTATTAACAATAACAAAAAATGTGACAGTGATGCCAAGCGCCGCGAGGCTAGAAAGGATCTGTAGCAGTCAGCGCCTGCTCTCCGCGAGGAAAGGAGTACAGTTGCCGTGATTACTCACTTATGTGCTCTTCTCTCAGCTTCCTCAAACCATAAGGTTTCCAAAAGTGTGAGTCTATAGATTCTTCAAACTTACTGAGATTAAAAAGTGTGTTTCCATACTCAATCACTTGCTATAAACTAAACTGCTGGATTTTTTATTTTTTTTTAATTCCATAATTATGAATACATTTTAATAGTTTTCATGTGTTTGAAGTCTGTTATCGTATTCCAGCAGTTGTTTTCTTTCCGGACTGAAGTTGTTGCCTGAAGATGCACAGTCTATCTAGCAAATGGGGCAAATCATATCTAAAGGAGTGCTCTAAGAAAGAAGGGGATGGATTTTTAGTAGAGTCTATTGTGACAGGACAAGGGGAAATGGTTTCAATCGAAAAGATGGGAGATTTAGGTTGGATATAAGGAAGAAGATTTTTACAATCAGGGTGGTGAGGCACTGGCTCGGGTTGCCCAGAGAGATGATGGATGCTCCATCCCTGGAGACATCCAAGATCAGGATGGACGGGGCTCTGAGCACCTGATCTGCTGTAGGTCCCTGTTCACTGCAGGGCAGTTGGACCAGATGGCCTTTAAGGGTCCCTTCCAACTCAAACAATTCTATGATTCTTCCATAAATCAGTGTAGTTACTTTGAATGCACTCTTGGTGAAATACCTATCAACTTTAAATCTGTAAGACAGTGGAGAGCAATCTGTTGTTTCTAGAGGTTCAGAAGAGGCAACTAAGAAAGGAAAGCTTTGTCAATAGGTTCATTTTTAATGTGCTTGTTGAAAAATTGAGGGACTGAATTTGAAAATGACCGGGAAACAATGCTCTGCTGTAATAGAGCAAGAATTGGTACAGTTATAAATAGATAGTTCTATTGAAATGCATGGCTTGTGAAGGTCATAGAACAGACTGAACACATTGCTGGAACAAACTTTTAAACACGACCTCTACATACAGAACACAGGAATTTTTATTGTCTTTCCTCTAAGAACTGTTACAATTTCTTACTTCTTCTGAAATGTAGTCTGATGTGTAGCTTAAATTTAGTGTCATAGGAGTTTCTTTTACCTTGAACATCTCACTGTGAACATCTTACTGAGAAACAAAGCTCCTGCTCCTTCACTGCAACCCATCTTTTTTTCCACGGTAGTACATTTGTAATGAACAGTTGCTATATTTCAAATACAAGTTTATGAAGGTAGCATTTCCTGCTGCCTGCTAAAATGCTTTTTAATTATTATTTTTTTAATGCGTGGTTCCGAAAAATAAATGGTTAATTAATCAGAGCATCTCATCACATTGAATGATTTCCGAGGTTCTAAGACTGAATCTGAGTATGCATCTTGTAGATTAGTTTAAAGGGCTAAAGCAAATGGAAGCATTCGACTTTGTGTTGTTCCAGCCCAAATCTGACTGAAGTCTGGAAGTCTGGGCAGTTCTTTGGAATGAAATAACAGTGACTCGAACAGAATATATATATATATATATATTTTTTTTTCCTTCTTGCTTGGTAGTCAGGTGGCTTATATACAATTGTAATTTTCATTCATATCGGTGTAGTAAATACAATAAAAAGTGTGAAACCAAAACAGTGTAAAAAGAGGATGTTCATTTTTGGAAACTATACTCTTCTGATGCCTTTCCTTTAAATTGAAGTATCTCTTTTTCTTTCCTTATGCTCTTCAGGACAGTCAGAGTGAAGCTGGTCAGAGTATTGGAAGGTGTTGAAAATGAATTACAGAAACTCCTTTAGGCTTTTGGTACACATGATAACATTGTTTCCTACCTTTGCGTGGTCACTGTTGTCTGTCAAGGAAGAAAACACAAATTTGTTGATATGAACAGAATTTAAACTATGCACAAGGTTTATGTCCCTAGCTTTTTGTAGTTCTTCATTAAAGCACACTGTAATTACCTAATCAGTTTTACTCCATTCTGAACTGCTCTGAAGCAAGGTTTAGCTGAGCCATGTCAGCTCTTTTCTGAACTCCCATCCGGGTTTGACATGTTACATTTTTTCTGTATAGCTCCATTGATTTCAGTTATGTCTGAATTGAAGTTGACTGGAGGTGATCAAATTGTGGTTTAATTGTTGTTCCTTAATACGTGATGTATTTTTACAAACTCTCAGTGCAATTATTTGGGTAATCTGACTATGTATAAGAGATTCCTTCCCTTTCTTTATATTTTAAGATGAAATCATGTGCTTTGAGATTTGTTATTTCAAAGAAAGCTTTATAAAAGAACCTTTCAAAGTGTTCTACTATGTAATATCACAAAGGCAAAAAATCATAAGTGTGATAGACATTGGTTAAAAAAATAATTCATGAGATAAGCCATCTACTTTCAAGCTCACACCAGCGTATCTGTGAATGTGTGTGATTGCTTAGTAACCAGTAGTACTTAAGGACTGCCAGAAAGGTTTAGGATTATTACGCCAGTGGAATAATGAATAGGGCTTGCCTAAGCAGTTGTACCAAATCACCCAGGCTTATGGAATATACTTCAATGTAATAGAACAACTGCATGATGGCAAGAGCAGTGTGTGCTGAAATCAGTGATGGTTACTTCAACATAGAACCATTAAGGTTGGAAAAGACCTCTAAGATCACTGTGTTCAACTACCAACCTATCCCACCGTGCCCACTGACCATGTCCTTCAGTGCCACATCTCCATGGTTCTCAAACACCTCCAGCAAACAGTAACTCACTGCTCTTTCTGAGAAGAAATGTTTCTTAATATCCAACTTGAATCTCCCCTGACAGGACACATCTACTGAGTGTGGGTAATAGAACTGAACTCCAAGTACTGCTATTTTAATTTTTTTTACAAATATCCCTAAAACATCTTTGCTTTCCAACTGGAGCTGCTATGTACTTAGAAGATGTTACCAGTTCTGTTGTTATTCTCTCCCTTCTTCTGATGATGTGGACTGTGTTTCATTATTTATTAGTACTCAATTTGCAGTTTAAGTTAAAATATTTGAAACCTCTCCATGAGATATGTACATGGAATTTGGTGAATATTCAGTTTCTGTCTCACTAGGTTTCCTCAGAAAATTCCTACCCTAATTTTTGATAAAGTGAATAATCTTAGTTTTGAAGATAAGTAGAAAGTCCTCAAGAGAATAATTTAAAGCTTGGGTTGATAGCAAGTTGAGTTGAACAAACACTTTGATCTCAAAGTACCTGCTTCTCTATCAGTTTTCTCTGTGCATCAGTGCCTTATTGTTTCTGTAACTGATTTGGAGTTCTGTCTGGCTGGCTGTTCTGTCTGAATCTGATATAAAGAGCTGTAACCTAGCTGGATGTGGATTTCTCTTCATTAAAGGCTGCTGGCCACCTCAATTTAACCTCCTTTAAGAGCCTGCCTTGAAATGAAAGTAGTTTCCTTACAGAGTTGGTTGAGCTTGAATGTTCTTTCAGTTATTGAAGTTCAGTCCTGTACTTTAATGAGTCATTAACTTAATTTTCTGAGGATATTGGATAATCATGTAATTAAAAATAGTATCAGATGAATGGTTGAGGAGTAGGAACATAAACACTGTTGTTATCCATATTTCTTGAAGATATTTTTTTCTTCTCTATCTGAGTGGCTGAGCACATTGTCCCTGAAGGTTTCGTAGTCATAACAGCTTAAGAAACATCTGATATTTCCACTCTTTCTGAAGACTGAGCACAGCCAGACTGGGCTGGCTATAACATAGCCTGACAGTTCCTTACAACTCTTCTCTTGGAAGTTTGTCACATTAATGCTGACAGACAGATATCAGCCTAGGCAACATAAGCAGCTTAACACAGTATATTTTATATATTGAAAAATAAATACATTTCAGTGCAACTACCTTGCCATGCTTAAATAATAATTTTAAAATAATTTAAAAATGATAGAAGTCTGTCTTCACCACAGACTTAAAAGCTGTAAAAAGATTTAATTGGCGCTCTCTCCATGCTTGAACTGTCAATATGAGATTTATTTGGAGGAAGGTTTTAAACTGTAAATGATTGCCACTGGTTGTATCACAACTCACAGTGACTCCATTATCTACGTACAATAAATTATTCTGTGGAGTCTCATGTGTCCTTCAGAAACATACAGAGAACTGTTTCAATGATATTTAGTTGTCACATCTTTTTTTAATCATAAGATTAGCTGGAAGATCTATTTACTAAAAGGATGTTATCTCAAAGCTGGTAAACACCATATTTGTAGTGCTTTATTTCAGCTGCTCTGCGTGTTAACAAGCAAGGCAACACAGCTGTCATATTGCATTAGACTGTGAGTACAGCTCTCTGATTGAGTCTGAGGCATGAGTTTGTAGCTCTTATTACATATATTTGTATATTCATCCACCAGATATGTTAAATCACCCTTTACACCCAACACTCGGGCTTCTGGCTTCATTGATTTGCCTGCTTCCTTTGTCCCTCTCAGGATAAGCGTCCTTCTACCAGAATGTTTTTCAGGAAGAGGGGGATGCTCAGCTTGAGAATGTAGAAACATCTGTTTGACCCATTCCTCTTCCTCTCTCTCTGGCATGCGGTTTATTTATAGCTGTTCTGCTGCTGACAGCTAGAGGTGAATCCACCAGGCAATCCAATGGTCTCAGAATATCAAAAGCTAAAGATACTGAGGACTTACCTCCTGTAGGTTGGTGCTTTTGGAAAGACATCA